CTTTCAACTCTAAAGAAAAAGACTATGACTATAGGAGGGACATTCCACCCAGGGGGATTCTTTAAAGACCACACTTTAAGGATTAGATGGATCATCCACCCAAAGGTGCCCAAGGACATTCCTGCTTTGTGCCTTTGCTCAAAGTATCTCCACTCCCCTGTGGACTATCCTCTCCCCTCTCAAATCCTACCCATCTGTCAAGGCCCAAGTCAAGATATGTCTCTTCCACAAAAGTCTGATCGGCCAAAGCCCACAATAACCTTCCTTTCTCTGCAATTCCATAGCACTTACAGTCTAAAGTTCACAATTTCCTCCTGTGTTACAAAGTGCTTTATATTTAGCTAATTCTTTGAATCACCAAGAATGCCAAGGATAGTCATCTTTTCTGGGTTTGACCCATAGCAAAACAGCACAGAGCTGGGCACATAGCAGGTACTACTTGCTTAATTAATACTTCATGAAAGATATATTGAATGCATAAACCAGTGACCAAAATTCACGTCTTTTGGTTTAAAATAACGAAAATGTTAAAACAGCACAGTTGTCTAAGACACCGTATCTAAGTCAGTCTTATTATTGTAAGAATCTGAGGAGATTTCTTTAGAACATTCTTCTGTCATTGAGCACCACATGTTCTTATGCATAAGCGGATCCTGAACAATTATCATAATACTATAAGAAAGGGCTTGGCAGTACAGGGACACTGCCAGGGGAGGAAGGTGAGCGCACACTTCATCAATAAGGGTACCTGATCTCAAACCAGGTGAAGTGAGGACCCAAGTCAGGTCCAAACTTTACCAGTACAATGACCATTTGTATCCCTAATCCTAAATTGTACCCATCGTTAAAACAAGTAAATAAATAAATGAAAATTCTTCGGTCACATGGATTCCACCTCAAGCCATAAGAAGCAAGTCCTCATTCCTCTTTCCTCTATGGAGGTACAACAGACTTGGAGGCTGAGGGTTGATTCCTAGTTTTGAATTCTTGCCCCACCATTCACACCTGGCCAAAATCAGTTTTAAGGTATCACATTTTAAAAGCACAAATCAAAAAAGTTCTCAGGTATCCTTTCACTGAGTTACTGACTGTCTTCTAGGAGGGTGAGCCCTGCAAATTCTCTTTGATCTCAGCCGGGCCTTCAGTGAAGTTAGACAATTCTCTTATTCATCCCCAGCTGATTTCTTATTCCACCCACAGAGGCAGCCGTTCCCAACTCAGGAAGTCTCCTGAAGTTTCCTAACCAGACCATCACCTTGACTTTCTGTGGAGGACCTCACCTCCCACCTCCCTTAGAAAACAGAGCCCACATAGCATGGACATATGGAACAGCCCTCCACTCACCCAGCGATTCAAGTCTGAGAACCACTGCTCTACAATGACCAAACGAATGGATGCAAACACAAAATCAAAAGGCCTATTGATGAAATCATCAGTGTGTCTTGCTCAGGCATCTCACCAGAACGTCCTGTTTACTTTCCTCTCTCATTGTGCTGTTTCTGAATTGCCATAAGTCTATCAAAAAGCCACCCAATCAGAATGATCCCTGCAAGAAACTCTGCCTGAACTCAGCCTCTGCCTTTTCAAAACAATTTCTTTCAAGCATCTGCACCCAATTGATTTCTCCTCTGTTGCCAGGGCCCAAGAAGTATGGCTTAAATGGCCGTTCTTTTACGTACATCACACACAGCCCTCGGCATCATGGCCATGGCTAGGGGGCCAATATCCAAATCTTTGCATCCTGGGAGGCGTCCCACCCCACTGACTGAATTCTGAAGTGTCTTTGTACAGGCAGGGCCATCCAGGGGCCTTGACAGAATCTGTGAATCACGAAGTGCCTTTCAGCTTCCCATTGGCTCCATCATACAGAGAGGCCACAGAACCGTCTTCTTAAATGGACACATAAGATATAATTAATTAGCTATGCCTTTAGGAATGGAGGGCATTTATCCAAAAGAGTCACACAACCAGGAGCCTCCTTCTTCTATTTTCCATAGCCTTTTATTCTCAGACACAATCTCATCTGCGGGTTTCTGTGATGACAGGCAGGTAACAAGCTGCGACTGCTCTCCATTGCTCAATTTTAAAGTCAGAGAGGTAGTGGCTGGTTGAAAGGCACACAGCAAGTCAGAGATCAATCCAGCATCCTCTGACCACTGCCCTGTTCTATCTGCCCTGGAAGCAAAGCATGGCCTCAGCACACATTTAGTGGGTTGCAAATTGTTGACGACACACAGAGGAAGAAGTCCTTCCTCAACTCCTCATGTTGAAACGTGAGAACTACCCTGGGCTTTTGCTCAACTTATTCCCCCTCCTTCTCCCCTTCTCTCTGCCTCCTCCAGCTCTGCCCACCCTCCTTGTGCTGCCCAAGAGCACTTCCCACCTGAAGCTCCTACTGACACCACATCTTGGCATTCTTTCCTTTCGCTTCCTATGGCAGGCAAACCTGGGGCTGGTGTTAACTGGTCACAGAGACGAACTCCCCTTGAAAAAGTGGAGGTAGAGGTAGAAGGGTTGGTAAGGGCCATGGGTTGACTACACACATGAACCCAGTTCTCAATGATTATATAATAAGGATGTTATAACAAGAAATACATGAATATAATAGCACTGTGAATACATGCCAAGTGTTTGGCACTTTCACGCATCCCTCATTTAATAAGAGCATCCGAAGATGGTCCATCTCCTCCTCCACCACGGAGGTCCCTGTTCACTGCCTAAAAGGCACCAGCACACTCCACCCCCTCCCACCACCTCCAGCACAGATGCACGGGCCAAATGTTGGACCCTAGACAAAGCTTTGCTCCTCAAAATGACAAGACCACAGGCCTTTCACTAAGGCTCCAAAGAGGTGACTGAGGTCTGGCTTCATCAACTACAAGTGAATAATTAATAACTTGCCAGTAAAGAAATAGACTCATTGTTAGGGTGGCCACATGGAGGCTACAAAGGGCATTTTGTGAGGCTCTTGGTGGACCTCCGGGCCAGCAGGGGTCCAAAGAAGCCTCTTTGAGAGCATACTCTGATCAGATCCTTAAACGTGGGTCTGGAGCCCTGTGCTGTCTTCCACAAGTGTGGTTCCCAATGTTAATTAGCTTACTGCCTATTCATCACTTAATTCAGCTTTCTGGTCCATGACAGAGGCCCACCAAACACCCAAGAAGGCACCACTTAGCAGAGGGGCCATGTAGCATTCTTCAGGGACCCTCTACCAGTTTTTAAATTCCTGTCTACTTCCTTCTCCGGGCCCCTGGTCTGATTTGAGTAAAACTCTCCAATCCTACTGGATTGTATACCCTACTCTTGGCACAATGCCTAAAGCAAGTTTTTCCTTTTTCATTCTCCAGCAGGGACTGACTGAACAAGGCAGCCTTGGGTGCCTACAGAACCGGTCAGAACTGGCCAGGAAATATAATAAAGAAGCTTAGTGAGCAGAGAGCTAATGCCCCCAGCCAGAGGCTCAGTGTGCAGAACCAGCTAGAGGCGCTGGCTTTGTAAGCAACAACACATTTCTTGTGGTCTCATAACTGCCCTGGCAGATGGCAGCTAGTGCCAACGGGGAACTCTCCACACAAAAGTTTCACATCGTCCCACAAGTGGACGCTGGGTCCTCAACAAATGCCTTCTGGGGACAGTAACCTCTGACCAGTTACACACACACACACACACACACACACACACACACACACACACACACACACTCCTACGGTATTCCTGTCCTCCGGGTCAAAGCTGCTCTTGCCAAATACAGAGCTGACAGCTGCTAGATACTGTCATTTCTGGGAGCTGTTCCCCCAAAGAGCTCCCCAGCTCCCCACCCCCACTTCCAGCCCACTGTCTGAGTTCCACCATTAGAGACAGTAAATATTTCAACTTAAAGCTTTGTTTCCCATAAAAATGCTCCCATCCTCTGCTTCCTTTCTGGACAAATGACTTCTAAGGCACCTGCTCTGTATCAAACGGGAAATTCTTTTGCATTTAGCTCTTCAAGATAAACACATTCACTGGCTCCTTTGGAAAACAATTTTTGACACTGGTGAATGAGGGGCTGGCAGGGTACATGGGAGGCCCCAGGGAGGGCCACAGTGAGGGGGATCTGATGGTGGAGAAAACAATCTTCAAGTCCTTCTCAAACCTGCTCATGGATATGGACCTAGATTTCTGCCCTCCGAGATCTGAGAGTCCCAGGGTTGCTGGCATAGCTTGAGCCCAGGAGTAAGGTGAGACCCACTGCCCTAAATGGGATACAGGTAGGAGATGGAAAATGGGAGCACAGAAACCAACACTCTCCTGATATGCCCTCCTGCCTGCAAACCTGCCCCAGGCTCCCTGCCCACGCTGTGAGGGCCCTGGCACCCAGAAGCTAGCAGATCCTCTCCCTATCCTTGGCCTAGCTGGAAAGGCAGCTGATGGCTCTTCAGCCCCTGGTGACAGTTTCCACTGTGCTGGGGAAAATAGGCAAGCAGAGGTCAAAGTCAGATTCCCCAGGCCGGGAAGGGCATCCGAGCAGCTGGCGTCCTTACCAGCCAGACTCTGTATAGAGACCCATACTTTTGTTGGGCTACCTCCCCCGTCCACAGAGAGCACCTCCCTCTTTCCTTTGCACACATATGGGCTGTACTCTGGGGTGGGGGGCAGGGTTGTCCTAAGAAGCAGGTAAGCATCTTCCTGGATCTCCAGAGCTCTCGAGAATCCAACCTCTCCTCTCAGGAGTCAGCCCACTTATTCCTCCTCCCACCCTTCCCTCCCCCAGCCAGCCAGGAGGGCGATGCTAGTGTAGGCCAGAATGCTTCAAAGCGAGTCGGATGCGCCTCCCTTCTCGTCAAATCCCCGCACCCCCAAACATCGCGGCGGCGCCCATCGCCCCACCCATCTCACGTCCCCGGCAGGGCGCAGTGTGCCCGAGGCGACTGCCAGGCGGGCCCAAGCGGCTCCCGCTGGCCCTGGGAGAGGTGACGGTGGCCGCGGTGGCAGGGGCGGGGACCCGCGCTCTGCAGTACCTGGACGCGGGGATGTCGCCG